CATACATGAAAGGCTTGCCATTCTGAAATAAATCGGGTACATCATTAACGAAAAGGCAAAATAAAAGCGGGCCGAGTACACTACCCTGAATGACTCCACTCCTCACACGTGTGGGGTTGGAGATGGTATTGGAAATCTTAACCGAACATGACTTTCTGATATCGGCTGGATAGATAGCATCTGATGAAGTCTAGTAGAGACGGCCGGATTCCGAGAACTTTTAATTTTACTAAAAGACGTCTAGGGGGCTCCTTGTCGAAGGCTTTGCTAAGCTCAAAGTAGAAAAACTACCACTGACTGTAGTTCATTACGAAGAGAAGTGACTAGATTAAGAAATGCCAAGTGGCAAGTTTCGCAGGATAGTTCAGTTAAATATCCCTGCTGACTAGAGCTCAGAAGCCGATAAGCTAGACAGAAGTCAAGAATTTCATTGGAAATTATCCCCTCGATAGTTATTATCATTGGGCCGAGATCCAGGCTTGAAGACGGGAATGATAACTGAGATATTCCGTGTTTCGAGAAAGAATCCTTTCGAAAAATAATGCGAGACTAAATGACTAAAAATGCGGGAAAGTCGTATGCTTGTTTTGTAATCGGATTTGGAATCCCGTCCGTTCCTGAGCAGTGTTAGTTTTTCAAACGATTTATGTGTTACTAATGAGATCTGAGGAGACTTCAGTTGTACTCAGCTGAAAGTGAGCGAAAGAAAGTGACTGGTTCAAACTCAGTTTTAAGGTGTTTTGCAAGGAAAGCACGAAACAACTCCATTTTGTCAGTGTCGTCGATTGGAATGATTTTATTCTTGTTTAGCAGACGTGGAAGTTCGTGACAACGCTTATATGTGGACCGAAGACGCAGATATACGCAACGGATTTGCCAGGGCTCGACTCACTAAGAGCGTTGGATATGACAGCACGAAGGATGACTGCATCGCTACAGGAGAGGAAGCCACACCAATCCAAATGATCTAATATAGTTATTTATTAAGTCGTTGTCTACGCAATCGTAGTTTATTTAAGTCTGAACGGTGCTACTCTTTTTTGAAAAGAGTAGCGGTAGCGGTAAGCAACAATGAATTAATACCTGTTCACTGCTACAGAGATCCTTTTTGAAAGCAGCAAAATGAGGATCAATGTCAGTGTTAAATATGAGATCCAAAATGTGAATATCTCTTGTTGGAGAGCGCACCAGTCGGGACCAGTTAGAAAAATTAACAATATCTTGGAAGGGTTGGAATCGAGGTGGACAAATAATGGAGAACCAATCTTTTTCAGAAAGGTTCTAATCCCCATTAATTATTTTAACATTAAAAGCAGCTTCCGAAATAAATTTAAATATTTCTCAGCGTTGTTAGTCATCATTGGCTGATGAGTTTGGAGGATTGTAGATACAGCAAATTGTTGCCTTTCTTCGCAGCAAGAGAGTTGCAAATGCAAAGTAGAAGTTTCCTGTGAATGAGGAGACATCCAGGCAACAGGGAGCGTTCTTTAGGTAGGATTAAGGATAAAGAATGTAACCGCCCCCAAGCCTAGTCGTGCGCTCTTGACGGTAACTTTCGAAGTTTTTATGAAATAGGCAGAGTCAGGAATTAGAGACTAGGTCCAAGATTTTTGTCACACATACAGTATCAGGCATCATTTCGAGGGAAATTGCTCTGATTTGAGCCATCTTGTTTATATCAGACTTTGCATTCAATAATATGATATGAATTGTGTTCCGAACAGCAAGTATATTATCGACGGTATTAAGAAAAAAATTCGGAGGAGGATATGCAGGCTGTCAATAAATGATGCTTGGAGAATAAATACCAGTTAGTCTAGAATTATTGACGTACGGGAAGTCAGCAAGAGATGGCTGAGCATGAGACATAAAGGATGTGGGGATATAGTTTTTGAGCATTGGGCTGTTAGGGGAGTTTGATCAGGGATAAGCTAGTTGATAGTTCAGTTGTAGAGGAGGGGAGAGTGGGGACCTAGAAGTAAGGTAGAGGCTGGTGCAGGAGGGCAGCAGCTATAAGAATAAAAGAGTGGGAAACCAGGTCACGGTTGGAAGTCAACAGAGTTAGGTTAAGCTACCTGAGAGCAATTGGCTGTAGGTAGCGAGAAGCTTGAACTAGGTTGGGGGATAAATGAGTTAGGCTGATTCACGTATGAATTATTCGCTGGATATATAGTAGGGCTTTGATAAGTAACCGGTACACAGGACAGAGAATTATTTGGGGATATAACTGGGGCTGCGGTGTTTGCAGACGTGCTGGGCTGTAAAGGCTTGGTAGATCTAAGAGAAGGCGGCGTTACCCTAAATGGAGCTGTGCTACCATTCTTTTGGGTCGGGTCTGATTTACTTTTGATGTCTCACCGTTCTGACGCCAAGCCACGGGCGACTTAACTGTACAGCTTGCAGCACCAGTTTGACAGGGGAAGTTATCGGTCTAGCTGATGTAGACGGATTTTCATGTGTCTCAGCGGGACTATCCGGAGGATATGAAACGACAAATGGGGCTGCTGCTGCTGCAGCTAGTTTAGGGGCAGGCAAATGCGTCAAGTGGCTTGAGTGAGATGGAGATGTAGGAGAAGGAGGAAGAAGGGAGTCAGATGTCGCAGGAGTAGGAGAAGCTGAATCCTTACGGCCACTTGTATTATGACAGAGTTGGGCAGCATTAGACTGAGAAGCAGTAGGTTTACGTGAGAAAAGAGACCCGATTCTACGCTCCATAGGAGTAAGATCTTGACAAAGGAAAAATTTTGCCTTCTCTAGGTACGCAGAGACACGCTCTCGATGAGTAAAGATTGTGTCAGCATCGATTGATGAAAACAATTTGACTAAGATGTGTGGATTTGTACTACAGGAGGACATGCGTTTGGCATCGGCTATTTTATAGTTGAAACCACATGAATACAGGAAATTGGTCGCAACATCGATTGGCCGAGCAGATCGAGGAACATTTTTTAGCAGGAAGTTGTAAGAACGCTTCTGTCTATTAGTAGATTCACTGGCGATCAGGTGAACAAGTGAGTCGAGACGCCTACATTCTTCAGAGGGAATATCGGAGATGTTCCCGTCGAATAAATGTCCAAGAATTGTCGGCAAAGAGCCAAACGTTTGCATAAAGTCATTGCAGTGGTCAAGTGCAGACAGATTAAGCTGCCGACAAATTACAACGGGTGACGACTGACTAGTAATATCATCTGACTTAGATTTAGGTAAAGCTTCTGACTTACGTTTAGTTAGGCCATGTTTACTTACAAGAGCCGAGAGCTTACGTCGAGCACCAGTTATCGGTCTAGCTGATGTAGACGGATCTTCATGTGTCCCATCGGGGCTATTCGGAGGATACGCAATGACACGCTCTCGATGGGTAAAGATTGTGTCAAACTCGATTAATGAAAATAATG